CAACAACTAGTGCCGGGGGACACGATTCTGCAGAATGAAAAGTTTGTCGATGGCAGGGGAAAGTTTGTTGGGTAGACTACAAACCAAAAGAATACAGTAAAAGCACAGGTTTTATGTGTGTGTTTCTCAGTTCACCTTGAGGGGTAGTTGTGACTGAATTGTGGACAGCCCAATCATTAATAGTACTTTGAACTGTTGCAGTTGCCTGATTGTTCAGTTTTGTTCTCTTTTGCCAAAGATTTTACTTTAGTTCACATAGTGAACCTGTTTTTGCAGGATGTGTTTGATGATCCAGCTCCAACTATGAACAGTGCTGCTGTAGAGACCATTATTAGCAGACCTGAAGTAGACGGCAATTATTCAGCTGAGAAAGGTGAGTTAATTTAATGCTTCTTTTGTAAACGGACTTGGGGAGATCTTTGCTTCTCTGCTCTTCAGTTACAAATAATCTAAAGGTCACCATTTTTTTAGTCAACTTGCTTGGCTATATTGCACTCACAGTAAATTTTATAAATATGACTTCCTTTTTGCAGCTCCATTGTACCGCTTTCCATGTTTTTTAGTTAGCACTATGTATTCGCTGTGTTGGTCCTGACCAGGTTCTTTGCCAGTCATGCTAGTCTCAATGAGAACTAAACCCTTTTATTTATTTTTGGTGTAATGTTATCAAAGACCATCCTGCCAGTATTCATCAGGCTTATTGTCGACATCTTTGGTGGTTGAATCTTGTGATTTGGCATCAACAGCAAGATTGAGCAGAAGTGATCAGAAGGGCACCAAATCTGTTTGTAGAGGTTGACTATGCCGTATGTTTTATACTGCTTGAAACACCAGTTTCCACATAATCCTTGCACCGGCAGTAGTTACTTTTCTGGGTGCATAAATAGTGGTACTATTTTATATTATGTAAGGTTATTGTTATGAGTTTATATTTTACGCTATTTCCTTGCAGATGAGATGTCCAGTAGCTTGGAAGGGCATCCTCTCCAGTTGGACAGCAGCATGGCAAACCTGCACAACCTCAGTGCTGTACATACGGACCTAAAGAAAGGTGCTAAAGATTCAAACAGCCCAGCCTGTGCTGCAGGTAGCCATGGGGCTTGTCTGACCCTGAACGACCATGATTACATAAGACAGTTTATCCAAGAATTCACCTTCAGAGGTCTGCTGCCACACATAGAGAAAACCATCAGACAGCTGAACGATCAGGTACGACTCATTTCTTGACCCTCAACATATTGTTGTTTGTGATTGTGATGTGCTTCAGGCAATGTAAAATTATACTAACTATATTAACTGTTTTAGAGAATGTAGTTTGTTGAGCATTATGCTGAAACAATATGTATACTTTTTTCATATTTCTGCCCTGTAACTGTAAAATTAATCATAATGGCATAATTTGAGTTTATGGCTTGTGAGAGTACAATAGCCATTTCAGTCAATTCTATTGTTTCGCTGACTTCTCGCAGCACTTGGAAACATGATTTGCTTCCCTGTCTACAGCTAGTATCCAGGAAGGGCCTGAGTCGGTCTCTGTTCACTGCAACAAAAAAGTGGTTTGGTGGAGGAAAAGCTCCAGAGAAGAGCATCAGTGAACCAAAGAGCACATGTGGCCTTCTGTAAGCTACATTGCAATGCACTTCATTCCCATAAATGAAGCCCATGCAACACCCTGTATATTGTATGCAGTGCCCTTGACCCTTCCCTTCTGTCATACCAGATATCCCCCAGAAGCCCCAGAACTGCAGATCAGAAAGATGGCTGACCTGTGCCTCCTGGTTCAGCACTATGACTTGGCTTACAGCTGTTATCATACTGCCAAGAAGGACTTCCTGTCAGATCAGGCCATGCTGTATGCTGCTGGGGCACTGGTGAGAGCACACATGTTGGTATACACCATGATCTGTCTGCAGACCGTGATGATATCAGAACAACTTCTTCTGCCTTTTGTTGTAAAATTTCACTTCAATTAAAACTTTGCAGTGATGGAATATTCTGTTTTGTTAAGTGTCCTAGAGAGCAAAAAGAGTTGTATATGTGACCTACAGTAAACTTTTGAGGGAATAAATCGGAGTTCAGAATAGAGGAAGCTTTTGAACTCAGCATTAAAATATTAAAAAGTAAATTCAAAGTACTAACAAGTTCTAGTACAAAGTAATA